AAAAATAAAACCCAACGAAAATAAATTTTCGAATCGTTATTAAAATTGTTAAAATTAATAAATATAAATTTTCGAGCCGTTATAAATTCATTAATATAAAATAAATATATTCATATAATACCTCAAAAAAAACGAAATATCATTCGTTTGCTAGCTATTAATTCTATTATATATATTCTAATAAGATGTTTATATATATTATTTTTAATTAATATTCAAATAATTATTCCAATTTTATAAATAATATTTTAAAATCATTACCTAATTAAAATTTTATTTATACTCCAATAAATCAAATAATTCCTAAAATAATTTTAAAATCATTATCATTAAAAAAAAAATCACGTTTACAAATCTTATAATCCTTATCTATCAAATCAAAATACACATACATATTACGATATGAATATTAGCTTAATTTTTTTGATTAAACAAATTCCTATACACATATTTTGAATTTCTTCAATTCAAACGAATTGGATTCAATTCTTGATGCCGATGACGTCGCAAGGCGGGTTTCGCCTCATTCAACAAAAGCTGGTGGCATTGTTGTAGAATGAACAGTATCTAAAGTGACAGCCCTGGTTTTATGGGTCGAAAAGCATTCAGCTAAAGTAAGTGCAACTCGTTTGATTGACGCACGACTGACAAGCAATGAATCTTGTCCCTGCTTTAATTTAAATCAACGCGACATTTGACCTACCACAAAACTTTGTACGCTTCTTTGGAAGTAGCGCATCCACTCAGACTCTCCATTTTCTTGCTGCATCATTCTGAAGCATTTCAGCATGCTGAAAATTGGTTCCGGGTATCTACAAGTTGGAGAGCTCATCAATTGAAGATGAGCCAGCCAGCTAACACTGGATGGGTTGCCTCTGGATTGCCTTTTGTCCGAGGCTTCTAAATGTCATGCTGTGGCCCACATCAAAGGAACGCAAGGCAGATCGCCTATCTAACTTCTCCTTGCTGCGGGCTCTTCTTTCTGCGCAAAACATCAACAGCACTGGTCCACCCATCCGACTGCTGGCTCAAGGACATGATGTGCTCCTGAATACAAATACGCTTCATTCCCATGCCGCAATCCAAAGTGATATAGTATGGGCACGGATTGCGGCAAACAGCCTCTTGTTGCCACAAAGAATCCTAAAGAATCTGTGGCACATGCTTGCAGTCTCGTTGTGTTTCTGATACTCCTGCTAGTGTGTGTGGCAAAAGATCCTCTGGGTTGAAAATGGTCACAAGCTCCAAACTTTTGGGTGGTCCTGGATTCATAGAGCGCTCTTGCATCTCTCTCGCGACTCTCAAACCCTGATCAGTCCCGAAGCAAAGACCTTCCATCTCGCTGCACTGTGCGCTGAAGACTCTGCATTCGCTTGAAGGGAGTCCGCTTCCTGGAAAGGCGGGAAATACAAGAAAAGGGATGTGGGTTTTCAACATGTACTTGAAACTTGGGCCGGTCTGATGTATTCAGCTTAAACTTTAATTGCCTTCCTTTTCAATCCGATTCCTCTGCATATCATATCTGTTTGTAACATACCTCGCGAAAGGAACAAAGAAAGATCTGAAGGTGAGAAAGAAACATTGGAAGAAAGAAGAACGCTTCGCCTTTCTCTTGTCTGTCTCTCTCTCTCTCTCTCTCTCTTCATCTCTCCAAATGTGGTCGAGCCACAACTGCACTCGCGTTTTCGGTTTCCCCGGAGCATACAAGTAGGGTGTGCCGCCCTTGGCCTCAGAGAATCTTGTGGATCTTACACTACACAAAAACGCTCATAGCGGGAGGGGCCCTTCAATGATACTGCATACATCTACATACTGATGCGCAATATGTACTCCGTACCAGGAGGAACAAACATTAGATTCAGTATTAAGGAATCAGAAAGTGCTTACTACAGGACCCTTATTGATGGGGACCCTTACTTAGCCTTTTCGGCATTAGTGCTGCTAATATCGCTAATATCTTCTAATCCAACTCAGGTACCCACTACTAGCCTTTGCGGTCTCTTTTCCGAATCCTAGTGCATTAGCAGTGGTTCAGTTTTATACTCCACAAATTCGCTGGCAAGCGCAACAAATCGGGTTTCTGAGCATGTCGATACCCAGATTCTTGGTTCCACATTGAAGGCTCACACCGTTGTCTATTCCGAGTGGCCGGTTCAAAGACCGGGACACGGATGCGCTGCTCGCCAATGATCTCGCTACCCTCGGTGATGGTCTTCCAACCAACCAACCTCTCCTGAGAGAGGTGTGGCAGGCGAGCTGTTCCAGTCAGTCCAGTGCTTTTCGCTATAAACGATTAAACGAGGAGCTTCAAAACAGCGGCTATTCGACCAGCACTTGATTCTACAGTCTCACAACAATGCGGCAAAACTTAAACGGAACGAGTCTGCCTTTACGTGAACCCATCTTGCCAGGTTCTGAGGCATACGTTGCCAAGTCTCTTTGGAGGGATCGATCATGGGCATCCAGCCAAAACCAGGTAAATCTCCAGATTTCATCACCTGCGTTCGCCACCAGTTTTTCTCCTGCACATGCCGCTCAAACTCTGCATCCAAGATTTGTCACATTCGGTTGTCAATTGATCAATATCACCAACAGCGGCATTCATTTGCTCGGGTGGTGACCGGTGGAGCAGTTGTGGGGAGGTGATAGTCACCGCAGGCGGTGTGGAAGGATGCACCTGGCAAAGGGCCTAGTCAATCTTGGGCTTAATGCCGAAATGCCATCGCGTTGATCCTTTAGAACATTTTAGAACATGTCAGTCTAAGCTCTTTCAATGGGAGAGACGTCCAAGCACAATTGGAGAAGTCAACACTCAGTCGTGTTGATTTCTGAATTGGAGCGTCGGTGGTGTCTGTTCTTTCATGTATCAACACATTGATGTCCAGTGTTCCAGTCATTTTTGCTTCCGGTCAAGTCATAGGGTCTTAAAACAAGAGATGGACAAAGAAGGGCAAGGCTGTCTAGGCTCTGTACCTCACCGGGGCCTTTCCGTTACATCTCCTGACCCGGAGAGTCTCTTCGGTCTCCTCTTCGCCACTACGGCTGTCCAAACCCACGGTCCGAACCCGTGCGGTGCCACTGCCCACATACACCAGCCGACACTTCACGCCGTATTGGCGGCAGGCACCTGAGACAGTTCAGAAAATTAGACCTCAGGAGGAACACGCATTTGGCTACTAGGAGCAAGGACGCTACGAGGGGCTCCTGGCCGTACTACTAGTAACAAGAAGCTACTAGGGGCTCCTGGCCTTACTACTAGGAGCCTTACTACTTAATCGAATGAGTCAGAGGCACCTGCACATCATGTACCTTCTTGAAGTCCATGTGTGGATCTCATCACCGGCTAAGTGACCAAAACCGTAAACCAAAACAAAAACATCGTTGTGTCACTTAAGAGGTCCGCTAAGAAGTTATTATCAATTATTCAATTCATCGCGATGGCTTCCAACCGAGCAATGGCCTCCAACCTAAGAGCGATGGCGTCCAACCTACTAGCGATGGCCTCCAACGCAACAATTATTGTTTGAAGATCGTTGGCAAGTGGCGCAAAGCTTCTGAATTCGCGTCCTCGCTGCAATTAGATGTGACAGAAGGACATCTTCCGAAAGAGCAGATCAGCACACATACGCAACAGTTCCAAAATGTTCCGAAACTTGCTTGACATGTGGATTCATGGTCATCAATCTCAGGACTCAAAACCTGACCTCGGCTACCTCTGCTCCCTTTCATTTCACCTATGTCAATCTCCTGTTGTGAGAACTTTCCCCAAGCAGCAGCCCAGGGTCGAACGCCTGTCTTTTGGCTCATTTCACCCACCGCCAGTGCCTCACGGTGATTCACGGCGACTTGGAGCATGGACATGGAAAAACAATCCACATGATGCCGCCTTGTTGTCTGGCTTCTGCAAAAACTCGGCATAGCTTGGGCACTCAGAGCTCCATTCGATCCCCTCCAGCAATCCAGTCGCCCATTGTGGCAGCCCATCCTCAGATCTAGCACAGTTCCAGGTACTCAGGCCTACGGCCTACGTTGATTGCGACTTTTATCAATTTGAGGGAGGTCTTTGTCGGCCACCACTGGCTTTTGGATTTGGATGGATTGTTACGGAGTTGAGGACTCATGAATGAATCATACCACTGCTTTGCACAGCCCAAGAACAAAAAACACTGGTGAATACTGGTGAGGAAACTGCAACTTGGGAAAGACAAGTCTGCTGCGAGCTAACCTATATAAGATTGATTGATCCTTTTTGGGGTGGCTTCTTTAGTATACTTGCCTCAACTCTGATCTTCTGACAGAGCTATACAAAGACTTCCGACTTCTTCGTGGTGCTGACCGAGTGGAGGCAGTCACACGGAGTTCCTAGAGCTACTAGTAGCGTTCTTGCTCCTAGTATATAGCGATGCCCTTTGTCCTAGTAGCGTCCTTGTCTCGTGTATCTTGAAGCCTAACAATACAGCAAAGTCTCCTCTGACGATCCATCAAAGAAGGTTGGGTCTCGGAGCTCTTCCAGAACCTGATAAGCATCCTGCACCTGACCACAAGAGAAAGTGAAAAAAGGACCAAACACTTCAATCCTTCAAAAACACATGAATAAAACACTGCCTGCTGCTTACTTCAAGCTTTGCCCCAGCAACCAGTCTGCGTCGATTCACTTTCTACGTTTTCTAAGTCTATACAAATGGGACCTACAGTAAGTGGCTCTCCAATGAGAGTAAACAAGAAACACGAACAAATCACAGCATATGTACCTTATTTTGTATTTTCCTTTATCTTTTGGACCTTCAAACATGAGGTCTTCGACCTACGTAATCTACAGGCATAGGCCCTAAGCCCCGCGGCCTTGCGGAGCATGGTCCCATCATCTCCAGTGACATCCGGGTGAACCTGCCTGTCGACATGAAACACAAGTGAGGTACATGTGTGAGGTTCTGAAACCCGGATGAAACAAAGTCAAAACCCAGTCCAAAGTAGATGACCATCTCCCTACTGATCCACTACAACAATATGTTTACCGGATCATACATGAATATCATATACTACACCGCGTGTTTCCTTCAAAATCCCACTGCTCTTTTCACCAATACATACCAATACAATATGAACCGTCTTGGCCAAGCAAATGTAGCGTACTGCGTACTGGGTGCCTGATCCTGTCCTTGAAAGCCTTCTTGATCTGCTCCTGAGACAGTCACTCTTTATTCTTTTGGATGCATCTAGCTGCCATGATTCTAATTTCAGCTTGGACCATGATAAACCTTGACAATTCAACAAACGATGGTGAGTCCTGCAACACTTGTCGGGAGCTGCTAAAAGCGTTCCCTCCAAAATGTTGGATCATTTACATTGACATGCTCATTCTATTCTGCTCTTCCATCGAATCTAGGTTTAAAACACACATGATGAATAATATGTCTTTTGGATGCCACAGGATACTATCCTTCCGCTCCACCTCCTGACGGTCCTGTCCTTGGAAGCGGTCGGCTGAAGCTTCAGCTGTCTCCAGGCTTCTCCCACTGTCATTCGGGCGAAGGTTCTGGCAGGCCTGTGCGGGCTGTGTGGGCAATCCCTTCATTGGCAGGCAACGTTTGGCACTTGGCATACCAGTTCTCATTTTCCTTTGTAAACAGATAGGAACTTCTGCGTTTGTTGAAATGAGAATGCACACTCTGGGTATCCCGTGGCCGCTGTAACTTTAACAGCTATCCAGTCCAAGCCTCCAGGTTGTTGCTACACAAACTACACAAGCTGCAGCAGTGAATAGCCAGCGCCTGAGGGATCAAACGTGCAGCGCCGGCCGATCAGCTTGCTTGATGTCCAAGGGAAGGCTTAAGCCTTCTGTGCCACACAAGCTTTGTGTGTATGTACTGCATGTTCTTTAAATCTAGTAGCGATGGCCACCAGCCTAGTAGCGATGGCCTCCAACCTGGTAGTGATGGCCTACGACGGCCTCCAACCCAATAGCAATAGCCTCCAACCTAATAGCGATGGTCTCCGACCTAAAAGCAATGGCCTCCAACCTAGCAGCGGTGGCCTCCAACCTAATAGCGACGGCCTCCAACATAATAGCGATGGCCTCACACCTAAGAGCGATGCCCTCCAACGTAAGAGAGAGGGTCTCCAACCTAAGAGCAATGGCCTCCAACCACGTAGCGATGGACTTTAACCTAAGAGCGATGGCCTCCAACGTAAGAGAGATGGTCTCCAACCTAAGAGCGATGGACTTTAACCTAATAGCGATGGCCTCCAACCTAACAGCGATGACCTCCAACCTCGTACCGATGAACTTTAACCTAATAGCGATGGCCTCCAACCTATCAGCCATGGACTTTAACCTAATAGCGATGGCCTCCAACCTAAGAGCGATGGC